TTATACTAATTTCGATGATCGTGAGGTTCCATCTTTGTGCTTTCACTTTTTGAAACAGTTTTTAATTGTTCGTTCATCCTTGTTCAAAAAGTCTAGCTGCTTCATTTTGCAGTTCGTGAGTCTAGCGATTGGCCGTAATATTTCGATTAACTTGCATCGTATCATTCTGGTGGCACTGGTGGCTGCCATGGCGTTTCAAGGTGTTCAAAATGTCGAAAAACAGCTGAGTATCCAAGGCGAATACAGTAATCCAGAACAGGAAATGCTCTTCAATTGGATTAGCCAAAACACGAAACCTGGTATTGGTTTGAAATGCCTCGCTCGAATTCGTGATAATCTGATAATGCAACGGAAACCCCAAGCTGTCTTGCTTTGTCCTTGCGAATGATGTCGTGCAGTAGTGTCGACCAATGAAAAATTGCTCACCACTCCACATATTCATTATCATATCTATAATTTATTGAAGCAGACGGCTTCTACTTATCATTGCTGTTATCTGCATAAATCAAGAAGAACCATGCTAACATATCTTATTAACCACTCAGTAACGAAAACAGAGCCCTTCATTTTCGAACGTCTTTCATATTGATCAGACTTAATAAAGCTTCCATGTTGAAGATGAAGTATTTGCGGGAACGATGCCTGTAATGGCGAATGTCAAACTTTCAACAAATCGTGCAATCGTAAATCATCCTCATTATGAAGATGCTGGTTTAAGGTACAGTTCACTCTTTGTCATAGATGATAACTGATTTTATTCGTTCGTTATCAAATGAGTTCATGTTCACCACTCCTTAATTTATCATCACAATATCAGTAAGTATGTACTGGTCATTCAGGCATCTTTGTTGCTGGCATTTCAAAGTGTTATGCGATGATATTTTCAATGATGAAGCATCATTTAGCAACCATTCAAACACATGCTTGGAGAATACCTGTTTGATGTTTGGAAGGAGTTTGACATATTATCATTGAAGACAATTATTGATGAGATTTGAATCGAAGAGAGCACTTTAATTCGTTCGTTCTGTCAGCATCGAGCGATTGATTTCGACATGTGTTTCCACCGGATGTCGAAATGTCGTGAATGCATTTTAGGACTCGAACGATGAAGGTTTATTCGATGTACAGCAAGAAACCGTTGATGGAAGTTTACCGAACACTGAAGTCAATGGGAGTGAACTATTTCATATACCAACCAGAATCCTGCAGACAACATCCAACAAAGTTCGTTTTTCTTAAACAGTGTGCTCTGAATTCATCGTCGTGTATGTTTCATAAGCGAAAACCGTGAAATGATTATGCACTTTTCGTATTTTACGTTCGTGGTTTTCGCTCACGATATACTTTTTGTTCTGTGTAATTATAAATGAGGCAGTCAAATGAAAGCCGTACGTGATGATATGTGATGACCTATTTCAGACCTGAATGCAGCTATCGCGCTATATGGGATCTAGAAGATCCAAGCAATGTCAGTCGTCAGTCATTGTGTGATATTTACCACATTGCCTTCTCAACTCGTGATTTCACTCTTATAGAGCCGTTCAAAGTGCTCTATGTGTCACCAACTTATGTTGTCTTCAAATTATGATTAAATGAAAAAAGGCCTAATTTATCGAACTAAACGAAAATTTCCCGATGATGATTCATAAAGATTTTATCTGGTCATTGGTTTTATCGAACTACTGCGACAGATCGAGATTGGATAGGTTACGAAAGTGAACGATCAGAATTTTTGAATAATCAGCGGTGCAGATGTATTGAACAACTATCGTGTGACGTTCGTGAATGGTGCGTTGCATTCATCGTTATTTTTATGAATGTAATTTTTATTGTCTTTGTTGTTTCTGTTGTTATTCGTATTGTTGCTCATTGACGTTTTTTTCATTGCCCACTTTATGAGGGAATCATTAAGAATGACTAAATCAAATGATAAGATTTTCATGTTAATTTTATGTGAAAATGTACTAATGAACGTGTTGAATTTATTCTCTCGTTGCTTTTATTGTTATCACCATTATTGTAATTTCATTCCAGATTTTTAGTCTATGATATGCACTATGCTGATCAGCTGAGTCTGCAATATTTGTTATTTGCTCATGAACGTATGTCTTTTTGATGAATCTCTACTCTCTAAAAAACTTTTTAAATGCATTTACTTTTGAGTTATCTCTTTAAAGTTTTGTTTAGGTGACTGTTATTGTTGCATTCAGCTTTTTTATTGTTGTATTAAATTATTGAGTTTTGTTATTTTTTAATGAAAGCGACTGTAGTGAAATTAATTTTAATTCATCGTTGTGAAATGTTTGCTGTGTCAATGCATAATGCGTTCGAATTTACACAAAGTGTCAAAGGTTTTCGCTGAATCACTAATGTTCTCGTTGAAGATTGCTCGTTTTGATTGTAATTCGTTTATAATTTAATTACAATGGCTTGTTGATCACTGAGTGAATTACTTTTGATATGGCTTCAGCACCGTATCAATCGCAGTTTTATCCGTGCACAGACAACACGCTTTCATGGTGTGTCCTGAGGGATGTTTAATAATTAGTTTCACTCTTCTGGAATCATAGACGATATGTTTTAAATATTCATTTTATCATTTGTCTGGTTGCGTTGAGCGGAAATAACTTATTACGAAGTGAATGATTACGATTGCATAATATTGTACTTTATGAGTGTTTATTCATTGTTCATTGATGAGGGATGTGTAGAAATTCGTTTTAAAAACTGTAAATGAATAGGAGAATATCAGCTTGCAGAAACAATGAAATTGGAATTTGATTGGGCGGAGCAATGAAGTTGGTTGAAAGGATAGGCGAGTGGTGGATGGATGTGAATTGCTGTTATTATTGTATTGCATAAATAAATATGATGAGTGAAAGTGTTTATGAATTCATTTATCGCATTTTGTTTGGATGAGAATATAGAAAAATAGAGGTTTGAATAGAGATGGAAAGATGGACGAGAGAGGAGGGTGTCACTTGAAAAGGAAAGACCTTGAAAGACGGTCGGTGCCTGCTGACGTTCGAATCAAGGTCGATCTGCTGCTCGCTGGCAGTAGGGTTCAGTTGTTGTATGATGACGACCGCCACTGTTACCTACCATGAGTTACCACCTCTAACGAGTTGGGCCACTGAACCACAACAAACCAACAATAACAACAACAATAGCAATGATAACAATCCATTGATTACGTCCTTATCACCACTAACAACCTCTGATAATAATCATATATCGATCATCGCCACAACGAACCCGATCATTACACCTCAACAATTCCTAATCACTCAAACTTCAGTGAGTAATCCCTATCGACCAGGTATTTCGTTTATTCTTTTTTCTTATCACTTCTCTTATTGGCAAACTAGATATCATCATACAAGATCTTATGAGATCACTTATTTACCTCTTAACATAATGACAGATAATCAGATGCAAGGCAAATTATAGCCTGGCTAGGCTCGCAAAAGACATTTTCATTTAGTGTTTAGTTGCTCATTAATTTGACTCAGCAATTGATTCGTATCAATTAGCACTTGGTAAATGAAATCTTTCAACAAATGTAAAATTTTATTCTCATACTGCTGACTGTATGCATCTTATCATCGTTTATCATGACATCTGACGTCCTCCTAAATTTTCATCTTCACTTGTATTTGAGTGACTGCCAAATTTCCACGAAAATTTTTCCTCTACTTTATGCTACCTAGCTTCAGACAAATTTTTGGGTACAGTATAGCATAATCAGGTGGTTGGGCGAGCAGCTGTTTGGAAGTATTTATTTGTTGGTTACATTTACTGCATTGTTTATTAGCTTCATATGCGTAAACTGAGCAGTATGAATGAGAATATTTGATTATAAATTCAAGCTGAAAGCATATCGTTGATGATTATGCAATATTAAATAAAGCGTAATGCATAACAAGTGACAGAATGAGATTTACATGATGGGTTTTCAAACTGGTTTTTTGAGTGAGATGAGTTGTTTTCACTACGTCGTTTCATCATTCGGTTCAGATTACTCAATCGAAACGTATATCCTTCTTTGTGAATAATCATCCTATATATCATTTCAATTTGAAATCAGTCAATAATCCATCGCTCAACCTAATAAATCAATCATCATTTATTTGCAATTAGAAACGCGAAATGTAAAATTCAGCATAAAGCCGAAAACGTTGTTGATATCGTCGTTGTTATCATGATCACCTCTGTTTAAGACTACTATCAAATTTCATGATCCTCTAGCATTCACGAAATTTATCGTTTCTATTACCACCTTCATTCATTGTTTGTGCATAAATTCGAAGTGTTTTGATATGTTGTCGCATCAGTTACCAACTTCTTCGCTCGTTCATCTTCTAAAGCATATGAAAGCGGTAACAACATTGTACAGCTCGTTATGAATCACAACGATTAATTGAATGTGCAAGAAAACTTCTCATTATTGTTATTCTTGCGTTATAATAACACAGTAGTGGTAGTACTACAACTAGTAGCAATATGTAAATGAAACTGAAAGGAAAGGACATTGAAGGTGAAGGTCATTCAGGTCGTCTTCTTCTAATTGCAGATACCGCATCACAGCCAGATGAATGCTGTAACTTATGGAATTCGAATGTATTCATGCCGCAAACACAATTCCATCATATTCATACCGCGTTACCATCACAGGTTTGAACCATCATTGACTGCTTATTCCCGCTGCGATGTTTGTATCCATTCATGATAAAGAATATACCGATTCATAGATATCCTCTTCTTGTGATCATGAATGTTCGTCTTGCTTTATCTGATCGCATATCTCAACATATCACAACATTCGTCTCATAATATCTATCTACGAATCGGTGTATTCTTTTTATTTTCGTGACGATTTGTTTGGATGGTCCTATATTATTTAATATAGACTCAAATAGTTTTGGTAATTCTCGTTGACTTTCTCTTAAAGTATCATCGAAAGAAGTGATATATTTTAACCGCGTTCATTTCCTCACTGCATTGGTTGATTATGTCAAAACGATATGCATAAGGTGAACTTTTTATAGTGTAATCATTTCGTTGTGAATTAGCAGTGCGAAGTGTCTGCCTCGATTCAGCACTCTTTCATGAGAGCATCGAATCATATGTTTAAAAACCTGTTTCTGGAGAATGAAGTCTCTGAAAGTTATCTTTGTACACGTTGACCTTTAGAAGACATACGTTGACTAGAATAACGAAACAAGATTTCGGTTATGCGAAGACGCAAATTTATGATGTTACATTGCAACAAATCGATTAATATCAAGAAAACAAGCTTAGCATTGTAGATAATCAGCGGTGAATACCGTCCGAAGAAACGCGCTAGCAATGGCTCAATTCGTACACCATCGTTACCGTCTTCGAGTGCTATCATATCACAGAATGTTTCCGAAGAACTGTGCCTTGTTTGTGGTGATAAAGCATCGGGATATCATTACAATGCTCTTACTTGTGAAGGCTGCAAAGGTCAGTTCTGTGTGTTTATCATACGGGAGGGGAGGGAAGGGTAGGGAGGAGAGCACGATCTTGATCCCAGTTCACTTGCGCTAAGCAATCATTTTGTTTACAACTGATCTATCTGTATCGTTTATGCTATGAAAACTCTGTGGAATAATTTTTTTGCCAAATATTTTGCATTCGAAAATTGACGGCACTTTCAATTTGAACTGCAACAGTTCAGTTCATCGCTCATTCGGTTATTGCACGAATGACTGTGAAGACGATACTTTCTAGCAGTTCCTAAATGATTCATGAGAGTCATAGCACCAATTTTTGAGGTTTCTTCCGGCGGTCAATAACGCGTAAGGCTGTTTATTACTGCAAATATGGTGAAGCATGCGATATCGATATGTATATGCGACGGAAGTGTCAACATTGTCGTTTGAAGAAATGCATGGACATTGGAATGCGTCCAGAACGTTGGTTTTATTCTCTTTTCGTCTCGCTTCATTTTCCGAGAAACGATACTTTCATATGCAAAATGCAAACTGTAATCCTCTAGAAGTTGCGATGTCATATTGCAATGTACATTGGATACTTTTCGAGGATGATTTCAATGTGATAATCTTCTGAGAAGTGAACGAAAACAAAATGCGCCACATTGAATCGATTTTTTTTAATTATTTATTTTTCTAATTCATTCTCCCAAAATTCGCTACACATTGCACATATGTCGCTCGTTTGCATGCTGCATTCTATTACTGTGCCAAACTTGTTACTCTGGGTCATCTCACAGAATTGTTGAATGTCACCTTAACATCGATTTCATCCCCGAACATTGCATAATTTGATTGATATTTGGACAACTGATAATTTCAGTAACTGCGTAGTAGTTGATAATTATGAGGTAGTAATGGTCATGCTGGTGCAGATTCAACTGCAACGGACTGATTACATTTTCGATTGCATAACATTGAGCACAAAACATTTCAGTTCGGATGTATAGGAAAAGAAATTTGTTTTCCCAGTTGGAGATTGCCGCGAAATTTGGAGTGAAAGGGTCGAATTGGAGTGAGAACGATAAATGTGCTTTCTTGAACCACGAAGATATAGCAATCAGAAGTAGTTAATCACCTATTCAGCTTGTTTCGGGATGAAATTTTTTATGTACAAAATTGCTATGAAGATCACGAAA